GTTTGAGTTTTTTCAAAAACGGAAAAAAACTCAGGGAAAACTGGGTCATGGAAAGCACGTGGGGGAGGAAAACACAAAACACGGAACACAGGACTGATGTTGTCATACAAGTTATACTTTTGCATTTTGTCACTTATAGACTACCATTTAAAAGTCTGGGGTCAGTAAAATTTTAGTAAATTTAATGCATTAAATTGATGAAAACTTGACTATAAAGACATTTACAGTACGGTCGCCGTGATTTTGCCAAGTAAGACATGTTCCTGGATCAACATCTCTTGTTGATCCTGGATCAACATTACTGTCCAAAAATATAGACTAAACCCAATCCATACCCCTAAACCCAACCCTACCCATAATTTATTCCTAAAATCAGTGTGAAATGATAGCTGATTAACAAGGGTGTAGAAGCTCCTAACCCTGATCGTAAGCTTAAAGTAGACATTTCCTGAAAAGTTATCCCTAAATTCTGATTGGTTAATTGGAATGTTGTTCCAGGATCAACAAGGATGTTGATCCAGGAACATGTTGTGCTTGGTCAAATCACGGTCACCTTTACAGTACAGTGTTACAAGGTTTCTATTTTAAATAAACACCATTTTGAATTTTCTATTAATCAAATAATTCAAAAAAATGTGTCATGGTTTCCACAACAATATTAATCAGCACAATCAACTTTGATCATAACAATAAGTGTTTCTTGAGCAGCAAATCAACATATTAGAATGATTTCTGAAGGATCATGTGACAATGAAGACTGGAGTAATGATGCTGAAAATTCAGCTTTACATCACAGGAATAAATACATTTTAAAATATATTCAAATAGAAAACAGTTCCTTTAAATTATAATAATATTTCACAATATTACTGTTTTACTGTATTTTTAATCAAATAATGCAGCCCTGATGAGCATACAAGGCTTCTTTCAAAAATTTTGAAACAGTGTATATTGCAAGTGAACCAAATTTTACATTATATAAAAATAATTGACTGTAGATTGGCCAATCAGAAACAAGTAATCAAGTAAACAGTATCTGTTTTGCAATTCCATTTGGTAGCACTAGTGGTGCATAAATTACACACTACATGTTTAAGAGATTTTTTAAAGGTTATTTTTTTACCACCAGCAACACACATAATTCTAACTTCAGCAACCATGAGAAATGCATAATGCAACGCAATTAAATTGCGTTCTTTTTCTCTTGTCTCTCTCTTTCTCTTCTACACCTGCCCCTGCCAGCTCCACCAAAGCAGAGGGGAGATGTTACAGATGATCTCCTCTGTTCCTTTGCTTTACTGCTCTTTCTCACTCTTCCTGTCTCTGTTTTCCCACCCTGGCCTAATTAAATCGCTACATCTGCCATAACCGCCTCAGAACGAGTCATGAAAATGTGATAAACTGGAGGCTCCTCAGTGCGACGCTATTTCATTATATTACACTGAAATCAAACTAGTTGTTTTGCACAATGCGCTCCGTGCGCGCTTTATTAAATAAAAACCCTCCATAAAATGAAATCCAGGGTTTTATTACATTTCAGTTCTTAGGTATTGTTTGTGTAAATCTGTCTTCCTCTCTCAGGTGATTCATCGGTGCGCTGCGAGCAGTTGGATATGCTGCTGGAGTGGGGAGCAGAGTTTAAGAGGGCCACCTCGGGTCCCATGGACGAGGAGAAGGTTCTGGAAGATCAGGTGGCCTTCGATGTCATCCTTGGAGACCTCAACTTTGACAACTGCTCCTCAGGTAACAGCATTTTCTCCTTACATTCTCCTTACAAAATTGATTATACCTTTAGCTACTAAAAATATTTATATGTAACAGCTGGGTTTAACATATTTTGGCATGTTTTAACCCATTCCATGATACCCCCCCCAAAATACTCTTAAAACATGGCTATTTATTAGAAAATTGCAGAAAAATCATTATTAGGAAAGACACTAATGTGTAAAAAAATATATATTATCATTATTGTTGTTATTGTTATTGCTATTGTTATTATTATACAATTAAAAATTACAGAATGTGAGAAAAACTTGGCAGAAAATGTATTATTATTATTATTATTATTATCATCAACAAAATATAAATTATAATAATAAATGTGTATATATATATATTTTTTCAATATATTTCCTATATTTTATTTATATTATACTCTTATTTTATTATATTTGTAAAAAATTATATTAAATATATTGTGTGTGTATATATAGCCATTTTATTTTACTGTATTATCTTTTACAATATTATATATTATACAATATTTTATTTATTAAAATATTTGTAATACAAAAATTACAAAATTTTAAAAAGAAACTTCACAAAAAATGTATTATTATTATTATTATTAACATAATAATAATTATAGTATTAAATGTATATATACATTTTTATATATTTTCTGTATTATATTTATATAATATATTGGCAAAAGAAAAATTTGATTTATTATTATTATACAATATTCATTATATTATCAAATGTGTGTGTGTGTGTGTGTGTGTGTGTGTGTGTATATATATATATATATATAATTTTTCTATTTGTTTTCTATATTCTATTTATAGTAAACTATATTTTATTATATTAAATAAGTAATTTCTATATTGAATATATTGTGTATATAGCCTTTTTATTTTGCTTTACAATATTAAATGTTATACAGTATTTTATTTATTATATTTGTAATAAAAAAATTACAAAATGTGGAAAAACTTGGCAGAAAATTTGTTTATTATTATTATTATTATTATTATTATTACAATAAACAATTCTTGTCTTCAATTTTTTTTTCAGTTTTAATTTTTAACATTTGAATTACTATTAATAATAAAAAGATTTTAATCTTTCACAAATTTTTTTTTTGTATTTATATTTTAGAGCTCTATTATTGTAGAGATTTTACAATAATATAATAATAATAATATAATAATAATAATATTCAGCTTGTTGTGTATGACCAGAAGGAGGCAATATAACCCTTTCTGAAAGGCTCTTTCTTTCTCACACGGTTTCTGTTTGTGTCATTCAGAGGATAAGCTGGAACAGCAGCATGTCCTCTTCACTCATTATAAAGACCCCTGTCGTCTCGGTCCTGGAGAAGACAAACCGTGGGCTTTGGGTGAGTTCAGTAAAGAACTTTTGCAGGCAGTGCCACGAGAGCTTGGGTGTTGTGGGTTAGTGGATAGAGATCTGCACTTGTGGTTGACCAATGTGGGTTTTTCAAGAACTGATGCGACTAGTAATATCTAGAAAGCAGAGTGCTGATATAATAGATATGCACATATTTACATATTTAATATATAACATACATATTATCTATAGGTAGTTCAGACACAAAACGTTCATGTGCATGTTTTATCAACATCAAGATTTGAATGTAAGTGTATATATTAATAAAAT